TAGTCTAGACACATTACTGGTGAGGTTATAACTGGTGTCAACAGTGTCCAGTTAGTCTAGATACATTACTGTTGAGGTTATAACTGGTGTCAACAGTGTCCAGTTAGTCTGGATACATTACTGGTGAGGTTATAACTGGTGTCAACAGTGTCCAGTTAGTCTAGACACATTACTGGTGAGGTTATAACTGGTGTCAACAGTGTCCAGTTAGTCTAGATTCATTACTGGTGAGGTTATAACTGGTGTTAACAGTGTCCAGTTAGTCTAGACACATTACTGGTGAGGTTATAACTGGTGTCAACAGTGTCCAGTTAGTCTAGACACATTACTGGTGAGGTTATAACTGGTGTCAACAGTGTCCAGTTAGTCTAGACACATTACTGGTGAGGTTATAACTGGTGTCAACAGTGTCCAGTTAGTCTAGACACATTACTGGTGAGGTTATAACTGGTGTCAACAGTGTCCAGTTAGTCTAGATACATTACTGGTGAGGTTATAACTGGTGTCAACAGTATCCAGTTAGTCTAGACACATTACTGGTGAGGTTATAACTGGTGTCAAAAGTGTCCAGTTAGTCTAGACACATTACTGGTGAGGTTATAACTGGTGTCAACAGTGTCCAGTTAGTCTAGACACATTACTGGTGAGGTTATAACTGGTGTCAAAAGTGTCCAGTTAGTCTAGACACATTTCCTGTCTGACGAAGCTAAACACCTAGATTACTTTTTCTCTCTAATGAATTTCCTGTGGTTTTTGTTGTACCTTGCTTCTCAGTATTGCTGCCTTGGTATCAAAAATCATATATATGTTGTGTCGAATAGGTAAAATTGGTCAGCAAGAACTTATTTAAAATTAAGTCCTTTTTAAAATTTTCTCTTATGCGTTTAAAGATATATTTTTTTTTCATTTATGTCAATGTAAAAATTAGTAATTTTGTACCAAAAGAATCTTAGAAAACTTACCTGTCCTTATTATAACAAGCTTAATTTAATTTAGCCTATTCCACCTAAATATATTTTTTATAAGTTTACATTAATGTAATAAACAAACACAATGAAATATATATTTTTTCCGTTAGGTTCAGAATGATTTTTGCGAAATTATTGCATACACAAATTTTCTCTTGCCTTATTCGGCAAGAAGAGCATTGCTATTTAAGCCAAAATCACAAGTTTTACCTATTCGGCACGAATAGGTACTGGCCCGCCATTGTGAGCGAGAACCACATGATGCCTTAACCCACAGGACCACCCAATCCTACAAGAACCAAGCACCCAGCCAAGCTAGGTGTGTTACTCTTGGTCCGAGGATATACGGAGGTGTGGGAGCTTTCAAGCTAATTTCATTCTCATCCCTGTTTTGTGTACTAACCTACGAGCAGCAAATATATATTAATTTTAACCACGAACGAGTGGTATTGATCAATAACAGCACTGTGCTAGCCAAGGATTCGAACCCATGTTGTACTGACCCGCCATTGCTTGAAAGCTCCCACACCTCCGTATGTCCTTGGACCAAGAGTAACACACCTAGCTTGGCTGGGTGCTTGGTTCTTGTAGGATTAGGTGGTTTTGTGGATTAAGGCGTCACGTGGTTCTCGCTCACAATGGCCGGCCAGTACAATATGGGTTCGAATCCTTGGCTAGCGCAGTGTTGTACACAGGTACACCGCTGATTTTCCGGCAACAGATGGTCCGGCACCTCCTTTAGTCCGGACAAAATTACGGACGAAATTCCCGCGCCCGCCAGTTTGGGAGCAGTAGTGTTGCAGCTAACTTTGTTGTTGATTATTTCTCTTTTTAAGTAATTATAACTGATTTTGACGGAATTTCTATTTTGGGGTAATTAATTGATAAACAAATTTTATTGATAAAAAAATCTTATTAATGCTGTTTCAGTGATACAGGTACCTGTACATTACAGTACCTTGCATAGTAGAGTACCTGTACATTACAGTACCTTGCATAGTAGAGTACCTGTACATTACAGTACCTTGCATAGTAGAGTACCTGTACATTACAGTACCTTGCATAGTAGAGTACCTGTACATTACAGTACCTTGCATAGTAGAGTACCTGTACATTACAGTACCTTGCATAGTAGAGTACCTGTACATTACAGTACCTTGCATAGTAGAGTACCTGTACATTACAGTACCTTGCATAGTAGAGTACCTGTACATTACAGTACCTTGCATAGTAGAGTACCTGTACATTACAGTACCTTGCATAGTAGAGTACCTGTACATTACAGTACCTTGCATAGTAGAGTACCTGTACATTACAGTACCTTGCATAGTAGAGTACCTGTACATTACAGTACCTTGCATAGTAGAGTACCTGTATATTACAGTACCTTGCATAGTAGAGTACCTGTACATTACAGTACCTTGCATAGTAGAGTACCTGTACATTACAGTACCTTGCATAGTAGAGTACCTGTACATTACAGTACCTTGCATAGTAGAGTACCTGTATATTACAGTACCTTGCATAGTAGA